GTCTTGTCATTGCCACAACCGGGGAGACCGAAGGCGTGTTTCTTCTTCAGCCTGATTCGTCCGTACCCCTTCGTTCTCCTCATTTACTCATCCATCCACTCGTTCACGCAAATATGTAAGTATCAACCAACGTCTGGCCATCTCCCTACCTCGTCATTCATGCGAAGTCCTACAGTTTGAAAAACCTTAGGGCAACAGACGGGTCGACAAATTACGGACGCCTGGATGGAGCCCTTCCCCGGTCCGTCCCATCAGCCTCCCTTAGCCGCCCCTCCCACCACCGTGCGTGGAAATGGATCGCTCTGAAGGCGAACCCAGCTCTGATCCATAAACTCCCAGGGCACGCGATTCGCAAACGCCCCCAGCCCACCGGCAGTTCCGTTCCCCTCGGTTCCGGTAAATAACTGAAGCGCACAGCGGGCAGATACCAACGACATGGGCCATCTGCGTTACAGGCACCAGGGGACCCTACTGTGAACCGCCGGCGCTATTAGAGCCGCTCGGTGTAGCTTCCTAACGCTCCTGTAAGAAGCCACCACGCAGGGGCTCAAACACTCAGGGTCATTACCTACAGCTCTGCTGGTTAAAAGCCCAGCAGGGGTCTCGCTGGGGACAGTCAAGGTGTCCAGCAGGGCTGCATTCCTTTCCGGAGACTCCAGGGAAGGTCCCATGTCCTTGCCTTTTCCACATTCCTGGGCTCCGGCCCCTCCTCCACCTTCGAGACCAGCAATGTGGGATCAAGTCCTTTTCATGTCCCATCGCTGGCCAACTCCTCTGCCTCCCTCTCCCCACTTGTAAGGAGCCCGCCCGTGGTCCAGGATCCCCACCTTGTTCTGGACCACTGATAAGCATCCTTCGTCATTCTTTGCCACATAAAATGTATCCACAGGGTCCCGGGGGGAGGGCGGTTATTCTACCCACTGTTCTATTTCACGTCATTCCCTAATTTTCTCTCTAAGTAGCTAACCAAACAGCAAATAGTAGGATCATGTCATCTCTACTCTCCAGAGAAATAATTTCCTGAGCTATATCTTCATTTAATGTCTACCTTTAGAGGGGATCCGAGTATGTCTGAACAACCTCTATGTGTTTTTTAAGAACGAGAACTGAAGTTATTGCCCAGCACGTGGCTCAGCACTCCTTTGACCTGAGAGCCTACGCGATACATTTTTGCTTGAGTTTAATTCCAGGAAAACTTCTGATCCTGCAGATATAGTCACCAAATGAAAACCACGAGGGCCACAGTGCTGCCCGCCTCACACTGTACTTAAGATGGATTTAGAGATAAATTCGTCTCACTTCCTGTAGTGGTTTCGGTTTCGTGTTAGCTCTAAAAAAAAAGTTTATTATTTTGGATTTTTAGAGTCACCTCGAGTGCTCTAAGAAGTAGTCATTTCTGCCTTAATAAACATAATAAAAATATCATTTAAAAAAGATCACTCGACTATTTTTGAACATTTTACAAATGCTCTATCAGGTTCTGAATACTGTAATTAAGAAATCTTCAGGTTTTCTAAGAACTTATGCCTAATATGTATTGAATAGCTATTTGGTGAATAATGCCTAATAAACAATGCACGCAAGCATTTTATCTAAATCTCACCCCACTGACCTAAACACTGCTAGGATCTTCTCCGGGTCGGAGGCCCCAAACTATCAGAGGTCATAGAGGAAACCCTGCAGAGTAGAGGACATGCTTCCCAGTCATACATTCACACACTCAGGAGTCAGCTGGTGGCACTTTGACCTTCAAAGCAATTAGTTGCCAATAAGCCCTTCAGCAGTTAGGCAGGATCCCAACACAGCCGACCTGCCTGTGTCACCCAACATTCTCCCCATCACCTTTATCACTGATGAACAAGCGAACGGACGCTGCCAGGTTTTCCAAACTTTCATACGCTGTGCTCTGCACGTAGAGAACTTCCCCATCACCATCCGTCACACGCTCCGAAGTCCCCCGCGTCCCTTCTAAAATGCTACCTCCTCCATCCTGCCCTCCCCCACACCCGATGCCGTCTCTCTCTTTTGAAACTCCATAGTATTTTGTTTCTTTCTTATGGTTCTTACATGTTATGTCCTACTTCGTAATATGAATGCGCCTATATACAAATGCATGTATACGTTTATGTACCGTACAAGTTATTTATCTTTATAACTCCGTTTAGAAGAAAGTGACTTGTAAATAATATATGCTCAAAAAAATTCTCTTAATTATACGCATACCTTTTGTTTGAATAGGAATAAAAACGACACTACGGCTTATCACAGCGCATTAGATTTTATAGGCCAGATTATCTGAACAGTTTGCTCAAAGGTTTGTTGAAATTCAAATGCGTTTAGTTTAAGATTCAACAGCACCCTCTCGTGGCCTCTGAGGGAAATTGGGCTTGCTGGCTGTGACCGTTAACAACTCAAGCCAGAATTTAGAACTTAAATTTGAAGTGGTTCTCAAACAATTTTAGTTTTGAAATTTTAAATCAGTTACCACTGAATGGTAAATTTTATTGGGCATGAAAGTATCATTCTTGTGGCAAGAATAAATATAAGCAGTTATTCAAATTTAGGTCAATGGTTTCCATCTCCAGACTATAAACCTATTTTTTAAAAATATTAATACATTTTAATTTAAATGTAATAATATATTTGACTCAGGTTAAAAAGCAAGTTTTCCAAAAGTCACATATATTTTTTCAGTGAATGAGAGTGAATATAGCTGGGAACCCAGTGACAATATACAGCACTATATTTTACTTTTTTTCATAATTTAGAACAATATCAACTACAGATAAAAGATCAAGCATTCCAACTGTGCAATCAAATGCTCAAGTTTGAAGTGGAACAATTTAAAGCAAGGAACTAAGTAAAATTCCAAAAAATTAAACCCCATAGAACAGCTCTGAGGTCCAAATTCCTGGAGCCACAATGCCTATGGCCGGGGGTTTCACGCCAACAGACAGAAGCCACCTGAAGGACGTCAAGTTCTGGCCAGAAGTGGTTCTCCTGCTCTGTGATGGGCAGCAGCCAGGCCAGCCCATCACACAGCGAGGACCTAGGCTTCAATGAAAGTAAAGCGTCTAGATTCCGATTGGGCCAAGAGCTCCAGCTGGCCAGAAGACTCTATGGGAGGACTCCAGGGAGAGAAGGCAGTGGTGATCTCTATCTCCACCGGTCCTCTTTGGCTCCAGAGACAACAAGAGAGGCAACACTGGAAGCTATGGTTGCTAATGCCACATCATTTGAAAAAAAATTAAAAGTCTGCTTAGCAGAAGCAGCTTTTCCTGTGTACAGAATATCTCCTTGCCCTTGGCTGCCCGTCGCCGCGTGGCACCGCTAAGCTGCCTCGGATTCCGACAGTTATTTCCAACATCATCATTTTTGAGAACAGTTCTAAAGGGTTTCCCTCCTGTAGCTGTATTTTTAAGCAAAATCTGACCTCAGAGTAGCATTTCATCCACGATGTTGATTCTAATTGTGCAGGAGGTGCCAGAGAAAAAAGAGAATATACTATTTGATAAGCTCGATAATCGTTTAGCATGCGACATTAAAAAATATATTAAAATATACATAAATTAGTGCTAGATGAAAAGACGGTTTAATATTGAGCTTACCTAAAGGCAAAACAAAACAACAAAAAGCATGTCAAAATTGTAGCTCTACTACTATCGAATTTGTACTGATGACAAAAATACATACTGTTTTTCATAAGTAAAAATCGTATAACTTCCAGGCTGTTTCTTTAGAAACACACTCGCTTCCTCGATAATCACAGAAGGTTTAATAATATACCCATGGATACCCACCCCAGTCACACATGCTTCAGTAGTCTCCTTCATCATAAATATTAAAAACATTATAAACAGACCAAGTTTTTAACAGTTTGTCATTATTTCTTTTCATCTGAGTGGACATCAAAGGATTTTGAAGTAAGATCTGTGATAATCCATCACATACTACGCAAAACTTTGGAACCTAAATGTCATTATATAATTTTCCCACAAATACAATTATTAAATTTAAAAAGAAAATGCATCGAGTATGAAAAATATAGGGAAAATAGCCTCTTTATTTCAGGTCAGCGGTAAATGGCAAATGAATAACAACACCAAGTAAGATCTATAGTGCACCAAATCAATGAATAGTCCTCTGAACTTCAAGTAAGCCAGTCGATCACCTAGTTAAAAGCCGTCATCACCTTATTTGTCATCAATGATTATTAACTGATAGACGTCTTTGGGCTTCTGACATGTAAATGCAAACCCAAGTTGAATTTCCTGTTCTGCATTATCTAGCTCAGTTTAAGTTGTCCACAGACTGTAGTCCACTTTAATTGGAGAAGAAAGAATACAAAAGAACATTTCACTTGATACCTAACTACCTTCCTTAGATTCTTTACTGGTTAATCTTTAGTTAGGCCCAGTAGGTAAACCATGGCTATAAATAATGCTAAGATGAAAAACATGATCTTATGCAACATGTCTCTCTGTCCATCAGAAAAGACATTTTGACCTTAAAACCACGAAGTGGTTGGTAATGCAATTTAATTTATAAAGGACATAAATATGTCATATACATGTACATGTATACTAAAATGTGTTCAATCCGAGCTTATTCATTCAATAAAACAAATGAACAAAAATCCACAACACTTACAGGTTTTTATCACAAAAAAAATCTTTAAAATGTCAGAATCTCATGTCTGGTTTTCCAACTGGTGTGAGGAGACTAACCTGCATTTGTTTCCAAAATAAAATCATTCCAAACTTTGCCTACAAATGGATAGGTCACGAGAGTAGAAGACTTAGGGGCGATACCGCAGATTAATAAATTTCATTTATGGCCTAAAATTATGGTAAAAGGAGGCTTAACTTGAAAAAGGAAGATGTCACCCAATCTGACGAGGTACATACTGAAAGTCAAGAAAAGCATGGGGCTGCCAGCCTGACCATCCAAGGAGGACCCACAGAGGAGAAGGGGGTGCAGGGGGCGCAAGCTCATCTTACCAGGTTTGGAGCGCTGGCAACTCTCGAGGGCAAGTTCTGGAAAGGAAGACAAAGACGCACTGTTAGCGCACAGATGTGTAAAAACAGGTTATTTGAAGTTCAATTCTAATGTCAGAGTTCGATCCGACCTGCAAAAACTAAATATACTTACGTATGAATGTGTGTGTACACACACACGCACACACACCCCACACACATGCGCACAGATCACATGGCCTTAACTACAGATTTTAACAGCACCGAGAAAAGGATGCGCCGTGGGGCACGCGTCAGCCCCGTGGTTCTGGCTATGTGTTTTATAACTATGAGCCTGGGTTTCAAAGCCATGGAACTCTGGTTAAGCGCGTGGCTCTCTAGAGGCAGACTACACAGGGTCAGATCCGTCTACCGTTTCTCACTGCATGACCCAGGGCAGTTACTTGACTTCTCTGCTGGGCTAACGGAGACTGTGGTGAGAATTAAGCGGGTTAGTGTACGGGAAGGCCCACAGCAGTGCCTGGCACGCTGTAAGCATAGGCGAATGCGTGCTGTTATTTTGGGGATTTGTTCTCTGTGGCTAAAAAGTGTGCAGTTTCTCAGGAATCCTTGCTCTTTTACAGGTATTTACTGGACTTGCTCCCCTGGCTCAGTGCTTGGCCCCGCCACACGGAAAGAATTTCTGCTCCGTGGACCGACGGCCTGCCACCCTAACCTCACTCATGACCACCTCTCACGCTCCGGAAGGGCACCTCCCAGAAGCCACCTGCCGTCTCTTAGAGAGTGTGACGCTAATACTAGGTGTTCACTATACCATCCGGGTGAACGTCTACCTGTTTGGTTCTTTATTCACCAACTTCACATGCATTTACTGAAGGCTGGGCGTGGGCCGAAGCAGGCGTGGACGAGGTCGGATTCCCATGGAATCTGTCATGTCCGGAGGACCGTGCTGGGGGGCCGGACTGGGCGGGGGCACAACTGCCACCCCACAGCTGGAACTGTGGCACGCTGCACATCCTGGAGTGTCGGCTAGGCCTTCTCTCTGAAACAGGGCAGTCACATTTCTCGAAGAGAGAATACTAAAGACACAAGAGCTTGTGGGGGCTGGGAACAAGGGAGGAGGGAGCAGGGGGGCCCTGGGAAACATATTTCTTCCCCCGAACTCCAGGATGTTGGACGTGTCGCCCTCTCCGTCCAGCCCCGCTGCTGGTGGCTTGGATGGCACGCCTTAGGACCCGGTCCTTTTCCGGCTAGCATTTATGGCTCAATATACCCTTCCTTTTAGAAAAGCTTTTGGCCATGAAAGTTTTTGTTTCACATCCGTGAGTGATAAACTTCGACCAGAGAAGAAACTTAGAGCGGGGAGTGGTCAGAAGGAAGGCAGGGAGGTGGACAGGATCCACCTTGAAGGACACCTGCCTGTGACACCTGCCTGCTAGTAGAGAAGGGGCTTCTGGGAAAGAAACGGGCTTGGAGGCGGGGTTACCGCTGAAGTTTAGATTTGCTGATGCGCGCTTTGAAAAAAAACGGTTTTCTTAAACTGTACAGACCCTGGGACCTCTCAGTGAAAAGGAAATCGATAAGGCTTTAACTTATGTCCTCTGAATATTTTTAAAAAGAAACATTAAATAATCCCGTGTATCAATTTTGGAGCGTAAGCTCCTCTCAGCAGATAGTTTTCTTCCAAGGCCTGTATTGTTAAGGCTCGTGTAGATCATCGTTTTGAAACGACAGGCCTTGCTCTGTAGAGAAAGTGTGGCTATTCCCATAAAAATCCAGAAAGTGCCAAAAAAAAGGAAGCTCTTTTAAAATCACAGCAATCCCATGGAAACGACCAGAAAGGAAGTGTGGCGTGAGGCTAACGAGTGTGTGTGAATTACGACTTCAATTATTAATGAAGGCGCTGACTGCCCCTCGTCAGCCCCACACGAACCCACACCGTCTTCCACCGGGTCACAGGTGTGGGGCTGGCCGTGTGCGCCAGAGCCCAGATCGGACAGGCCGAGACGGAAGCGGAGCAGCGGTGTGGACGGCTGTTAGCCTGAGGGGGGTCGGGCAGAGGGGATGGGAGGGCCAGGACACCCGGGCACTGGAGGGAGAGCCAAAGAGCCCCGCTGGGGAAGTGGGAAGTCCTCGGGGGACAGAGCACAGGAACCGTGCAGCGTGAAAGGGAGGGGGACGCGTGCTCTCGGTGTCGTAGAAAACCCTGTCCGCACGGCGGACCGCCTTGAGGTTTCTCCGGGTTTGCAAAGGTTTGACCTTGAGCTGCCTCCCGCTCTGGCTCTGCGCTCAGACGCGTGGGCTGCTGCCCCAGGGGCATTGGCAAGCGGGACACAGCAGAGGCTGGGAAAGCTCTGGACCAAGCTGGACTTGGCACCTTTCCCCCTCTGCCAGCACACTGGGAACACGTCTGGCTCAGCCGGCTGGGCGAGCAGGCACACTCAGCCCAGCTGCACCTCGCCCCCGCCGAGGGCCAGGTGGTTGCCAGCTATGGGCATGAGTCCAGTACAGACAGAAGAACCACCCAGTCAAGCCCAGTGAGGTCCCCAACCTATAGATTCATGAGCTGAACAAACGCCAGCCCGGAGCCACTAGTCTTGGGGCAGTTTACGTGGCATGCATGTGGGACAGGTGCCCGGGACCACTCGGCACTGTGGTAAACACTCTGCTTGAAGCCGACCAGAGCCCTGGCAACCAGCACAGACTCTGGAAGCTCGGTCCAGGGGCACTTCAGGGAGAAAGATGAACCAGGGGAGCTGCTGAGAATGGAGGGTCACGGCCTTGGGCCTCTTGGCCGGCTCGAAGGGCGTTGGCTGGACATCCAAGTGGTAACCTTTCTGCCCATCCTGGTTACATAGGAAGACGCAAGGGCTAAAGGGCTCCTCCAGACACTGACCAGCAGAGGGCATCTGAAGCCAGCGTCCTGCCCAGGGTCAACCCGGGACAGGAGAGATGAGTTTTGTTCACAAACTGCCCTGTGAGTCTAAAAGCGCTTTGGTCTTAAAGCAGAAAGAAGTTCCTTGCTCTCGAGTGGTCCGTAGGCCCGTGCGCCCACATCGGAGCGTCTGGCTATGATGCAGGGTGGGGATGGCAAGGTGCCCGGGCAGGCGGCTAAAACCTGCACTGACCTTTCATCAGAGGCCAGTGGGCAGTAAAGGCATATACGATGAAGGACAGAGAAGCCCAGGGCACCCCCTGGCCTGAGAATTCCGGGCCTGCGAGTTTAGAAAGACATCAGGGTTCACAGGCTGCAGCTGTCATTGTCTCCCCCGGGAGCAAACTCTGGAGGTGGCACATTCACGCAGAGGACGGCAACAGCAAATAAAATAAGTCTTCCCAGGTATCAAGTACAAATTACACACCGTTTAAGCCTCACCGTGACGCACGAAGTAAGTAGTCCTATTACCCTTACCTTTAAAATGAAAAACCCCAAGGCTTAGTAATGTTCCCAGATCACGTAGCCAGTTGTTGACCTCTGCAGTCGGTCACCCCAGGTCCCTCCCCACAGTCAAGCTTTGACCCCAACTGCCCCCTGGAAAGACCTGAGGAAGCAGACCAGCCTGTCCTTCCATTTCCCAGAGATAGAACCACTCAAGAAAACCATATTCGACCAGGCTGTACACAGGCACTATGCTCAGTGCTTCAGGGGTCTCCCAGGTGACCAGGCGCAGGCCCATAAGATGCTTTACGGTCAGGTAAGATATCAACAGGATGACCACACCACCAGCTAGAGAGCGATTAAGAGACGCAGCTTGGAGCCGAGGTCGGACGAGGACTGTGATTCATGGGCAGCCGGGGAGGCTTAGTGCCAGGGCTGGTGTTTGAGCTGGACCCACGAGGAGGGTGGGCTCCAGTAACGGCAGGGTGGGGTGGGGTGGGGGTGGGCAAACACGAGCACGGGCTAGTCCAAAATGGCAGAACAGCGAGAGAACCACAGTGAGGGGCAGCTTGACGTCTACACAAAGCAAGAGTGTCCTTTCCTTACCACCAACCTCATGCTTCTCCCCCCACTTAGAGCAAAGGCCACCCCCTTACTGGGAGCTGATGACGCAGAACAGATAGTGGAAGGAGCTCGGGCTGTGGGGCTGGGCACTCTCCTGGCCCCAGCCTGCAAGCCACGTGACCGAGGTGCCAGCCTCACTGACACTCGATCCTTAGCCGTGCGATGGCACCGCAGTGACCCCAGGCCATGGGCTGCGGTGATGATTCAATATGCTGGTCCACGAGACGTGCCAAGGTTAGCGCCTCGCACAGTTAGCACACCTCCACTACCAGCACTCGTGTTAGCGGGAGTTGGGACAAGGCCCCCTGCTGTGGCTGCCACCCCACGTCGTGCCCGATGTCCCCCCGGTTTGCTGGGCTCCATTCCAGCCTTCCTTTGGTTCCTTCATATGTCACAAGATGTGACGTGAGAACACGTTGGGCACCACGTTGCCAGGTGGTCATCTGAAACTGCTGCCCGCTGTGCGATGCTCGGGGGTGCTGTGAAGGCCGTGCTAATGAACCGTGTCTCCTAAAGGCCCCAGAGTGACGAGCTCACAGACACACTGTGAGTGGGAACAGCCTAGTACAGGAAATAACGCCTCCCGAGTGCCGAGACTCAAATGTCCCCTCTGCGTCCTCGCTATGTCCATGACTGATCTCCCATTTAGGAACAGAATTATTACTTACAAAGTTGCTGTATTTCTCTGCAGTTCATGCTGAAAATCGAAGAATTCTAACTGGCACCTAAGGCCGCTTGCAGCTCAACTGCTCGAACAGCTTCTATCCCGAGGTACAAGTCCAAGCAAACTGCGTAGCGGAACGGGTGATGACTACGCAAGAAATAGCACGCTGTCTGTTGGAAGGTCAACTCTGAAGGTCAAGGGAGTGGACGTCTTTATTAAGGAGGAAGAAAATGTGAGCTATGCTGCCACGTGCGGAGAAGGAAATGTACTCCTCCGGTGACAAAAATGCCTGGGCTGCTGCTTGTCGAGCCGCAGCTCCAGCTTTCACGGGGTGTTGGCAGATCTAAAAGAATGCGCGTTCCTTGAGAAGGTCCTTCTACATTTTGAGTGTCC